GTGCTGATGTGTATCCACATCCTCAGGAAAAAAATGAAGGCTCTTGCTCAAAAGTCAAGTTTGTAATTTAGAGGGAGAGTTGAACTTTTAAAACAAATATATGTCTCCAGCCTAAAAAGAACCCCAAATTTTTTGCAGTCTTCTTTTAAAAAGCTTAAGAAAACAAAGTTTCTGAGCCTAATATCCTCAAGATTATATTTATTTTACACTGAAATACAGACCCCCCCCAACATATGTTTTTATGCTTTTATAATTATTTTTATAAATTTCTCTGAACAAATATATTCCAACAGAAGATTAACGCAAAAGGTCATCTCTCCTGTTCCCATTGTGTGTTAATCTAAGTCTCTGGTATGAAATGCTGTATTTATAATCCAAAGAAAAGAACAGGGATTGTCTGATGTGCTACTGAAAGTTATCAGGTCCCAAGTTTAGACCAGGGATAATGTCATTCTTTGGTAAACAGCCACTGTTTCTTCAAACCCAGCTGCCTTTGGCATATCAAACCTGTCAGAGGTGCTCACAGCAGTGCATAGGTTATTATAACGCTCGACATATATTCCCATTGAGAAATGGCAAATCACATACCCCAAATGATTTTCATATTTGGTGACAGACTTAGGTTATTATGTACTATGTCGTTTCCAGAATCAACTTCTATTTCCAGGAGTGATGTAAGGTTAAAGTTATGAAACGATGCCATGCTCCTAAGAAACCATGTTTCCTTACCTTAGATGTTAAATTAAAAACATTGATTCAGAAGTTCAGAAATTATTCATAATTGGGTTTTTTTGGGGGAGCTTTAACTTACAGTATTAATTCATATTTAAGTGTGTAAAAAAAAAAAAAAAAGGATTTTCAATACTCCTGGAAAGGAATACAACTGGATTTCAGAACAGTTACTCAGCACACTTGAAAATCAACAAGAATCTATCTAAATGTCTTCCTAAACCCAGAAAGACCTAATTTGGAATAGTTTGATATGAGAATTGCTTTATGATGCCAAATTTAAAAAAAATCATTTGCATGTTAATGAATGCATTTTATTAAATATGCAGAACTCAATAATACCCAGAATTTATCCATCATAAAGAATTTGCCCATGAGTTGGAATCTAATATATATATTTATAATTCAATTGCCTCTGACATACCAGCAATACTTGGGGTCATTATCTTCCAGAAAGGAAGTTACAGCAGGAAAAGTGTGGCAAAAATGTACTGGCCCAACCCTATTGCCACGGACCAGAGGATTACAGAATGACAGAGCCTCTCCTTCCTCACACATTCTCTTCATCACAGACTCACAGAATCACAGAATGGTTAGGGTTGGGAGGGACCTTAAGGGTCACCCAGTTCCAGCCCTTCTGCCATGAAGAGGAACACCTTCCACTAGACCAGGTTGCTCAGGGCCCCATCCAGGCTGGCCTTTGTGATGTTCTCAACTCTGCTGGTATTAGCTACCCTACCTCAGAGACTGTGCTTATGCACAGAAGAGTTTCAAGTGTTGAAAGGAGATTGGAGCCAAGAAAATGGACTGAAAAAATAGGAAGTAAACTGGTAGCAGCTTGATGTATGGAGAGAGCATAAGAAAGTCGTTTTTCAGTGGGAAGGGGTTACACATGGGTAGATTTAATGGGATACAGGTTCCTTAAGGACTGCTCTGGAGACAGTATGCGAGTACAGCAGGACAAATACAGCAGGTGGACTCAAGAGGGAGGAAAAATTAAAAAGAAAGAGAATGCAAAAAGCAGACCAAGAAAGGAGCAAAATAGCACCAAAAATATAAACTATACCAGAGCACAAAAACATCCATTACATATAGAAATGAAAGCAGTAATTAAAAAAACCCAGAAATTAATATGAAGGAAGATTTTCTTAACCTTCTTCTTGCATACCTGTTTTCTAGGTTGAGGTTGTAACTATTTTGGACAACAAATCTTCTCAGTCCACTTTTGCCAAGTATCTTATTTACAGAGGCTTAACTGGTGTGAACTACTAGTTAGAATAGTGTGATCTCCAATCAAGACAAATTAATCTGACATTTCCCCAGTTTGCTGCCCTCCCCAGATGTGAGCTACGGGTCCAGGAGCAGCTGCCTGGACACCATCTATGGTTCAGCTCAGTGGAAGGTGCACAACTCACACAGGCTGTGCCTGACTTTCACTCTGCTTAATGCTTCTGCATCCCACTTTAGCTTGACATCTTTTAGGCAAGGTAGAAATACAGATGAATAATCTCCCTGTAAATCTCCCAGGTTCTCTCTTGCGGTCTCTAGCTGGTCAGAGTGACCCCAAGATACGTTAGAAAGTTTCTTTTCCAAGCCCAGCACTCAAAGAAGGAGTCAGATCTCTTCATTTCTCAGTCTCAAGGTTGTTTATTGTTTCTTATCTATAAAATTCTTTCTCCTGCCGTGCTGAGGTCTGCTCAGCAAGACAGTCAGAGGCACTCTGCCTGCCCCCGGACGGTGTTATCTTTTTATACTAAAAACTAGATGTACAATATTTACAATTACTTTCCAATACCTATCACCTATGTTAGACAGTGAACTTCTACTCTAAATCAATCTAAAAGTGCCAACATCACAGCAGAAGATGGAGGCCAAGAAGAAGGAGAAAGGCTGGACACACCCAGATTCCTCCATCTTGCACCCTGAACCCCCATTCTAAAAACCCAAAAAAATCTATTTTTCACCCTGTGATAAATTCACTATCATTCTACTTAAACTTTCATGGCTTGTAATTCTTCATATAAGGTTGGTAATTGTTTTTTCCAAGGGCTAAATCAAAGGCACAGAAGTCTTGGGCTCTGTGCCAAGGTCTCTGAGACCCCTGGGCAGGGGCTCGAATCCTCCAGGGCTGCCAGAGGAATTTCCTGGGTTCCCACAGTTCTCCACTTCTGTGTTTCACACCTACTATGATAATGCCTGGACTGGGAATTGGCCTGTGAGGCAGCAGGATGGTCGCTGAGACCGCAGCTCAGAACCTGAGCTACCCTGCCAGGTTCACTTCTCAGAGGGCTGCAATATTTCAGTCCCAGGGTATGACAATGTCCAGCTGGTAGGCTGACAGTGAAACACTCAGAGCACAAGCCAGAGTGAGCTTATTTTCCATCAAGTGAACATATGAAAAATAAAGTTCTGCTGGGTAATCACATCTTCAATCAAGTAAGTAATAGGGCACCTTAACTGATATGAGGGAGCTTCATACACTGCTACTGGAAGAAAACGTGAGCTCTGGCTAAATACCTTGCAATAGAGGAGTTTAGAATTTTTTTAATTGGCCTGTGAAATACTCAACATACAAATACTGCAAGCACTGTTGCATGTTGTTGGTGCTGTCTCCCACCAGATTAAGGCTGCGTTTTGGACACAGTAGGTCATTACTGTACAACAGAGCACAGCCCCGGGAACAGGTGAGTACCTAGAAAACCAGCCACCGAGTGTCTCTCCCCTGTTTGTCAATGTCACACAGATCAAGTGTGCTGACAGCTGCCAAAAGAAAATTGCCTGCTGTCACTCTGGACATCTAACCTTTCCCTCTGTACTTGGCTCTGCCGAGTCCACACCCTGAATCCTGTGTCCCATTCTGGGCCCTCACTTCCACACAGACATGGAGGTGCCTGAGCAAGTCCAGAAAAGGGCAATGGAGCTGGTGAAGGGTATGGAGCACAAGTCTGATGAGGAGCAGCTGAGGGAGATGGAGGGGAGAAGAGGAGTCTCAGGGTGACCTTAGCAGTCTCTACAGCCCCCTGAAAGGAGGCTGTAGCCAGGTGAGAGCTGGTCTCTTCCCCCAAGCAACCAGCAACAGGACAAGAGAAAATGGCCTCAAGCAGCACCAGGAGAGGTTCAGGATGGACGTCAGAATCAATTTTGTGAAAAATGCATGTATTTTATGATTGGCTTTTCGCAAATATTAAAATGAATATTATATGTGTTGTGTTAGAAAGAAATGCTGTATTCTCTCTGTGTTAAATATAGTTTTAGGTTATAAAAATTGTTAAAATAGAAACGATGCTATGTAAGATGCTTTGTTTAACAGAAAGGGCTTGCAGCGAGATAGCAGCCACAGGACACCTAAGTCTTTCAGAAAAAGGGAATTTATTACCTTCTTATCAGAAGAAACTAACTTCTTCCCACCTTGGAGGTGCTGTTAGGATTCAGAGGAAGAAGTTGACACTGACCGGATGGAATCCTGTGTTTGAATGGAATTTATGCATCATGTATGAAGTGTATGAATATGCAACGGGCTATTGTTCTTAAGGGTTAATCCTTTGTTAACGGGTGTCCTTTCTTGGGCTCGTGATGCCCAGAAAAAGGTACCCGGACGTGTGTAACTCTTTGTTTTTATTGTCTCATATTGTCTTAATTCAATTTGTCCAAATTGTTATTACTCTAATTGTGTTACTATTTTTATAACCATTTTATTACTATTAAACTTTTAAAATTTTAAAAACAAGTGATTGGCGTTTTTCACAAATTTCTTCATGGAAAGGGTTTCTAAACATTGTAATGGACTGCCCAAGGAAGGTGGTGGAGTTGCCGTCCCTGGAAGGTGGGCAAGAAATGACTGGATGTGGCACTCAGTGACATGGTCCTGCTCACATGGTGCTGTTCAGTCATAGGTTGGGGTTGATGGTCTCAGGGGTCGCTTCCAACCTAAATGATCCTGTGATTCTGTAACTCATCCTTAGCATCTCATCTGTACTCCTTGAAGTCAGTAAAAAGCTGACTTTCCGAGTAATCCCTATGCAATTTATTTCTGCTGAATTACCACCTAGCAGTTCAGTGCAGTTTCTGTACACACGGGTGAATAAAAACATTTTACGTGGGGCTTTATTTCTGGGTGCTCGATGTATTCAACACGGCCCAACCCATGCCCACCCACAACTCCCGCTCCCCCGCGCAGGCCGCTGCCTCTCCCCTCACCCGGGGGGGGCGGGGCCACGCTGGCTCTGACCAATCAGCGCCGCGGCTGATTGGGGCCGGACTGGCGCGGGGAGCTGTCACTCCGGTGACGTCACGGCGGGATGAGCGGGCGGGCGGAGGTATGGCCGCCGCTGGGCCCGGGCCTGCCCAGGGGATGAGTGGGTTCCTGCGGCCCGGGGGCAGCTGCCCTTCCCTCGGAAGGGGCCCTGCAGCTGGGCAAAGGGGCAGGCTGCCGCCGCTGCCTTCCCTCTGGAAAACTACTGTGTGCAGGCCTCTGGCTGTCCCGCGTGTCCTCCGCCATCCCCTGCCTTGTCTGGCATTGCCACCCGCTCCGGGGCTGCGGGGGCAGCAGCTCGGCAGGGCCGCTGAGCGCCCCCGGCCTGTGCAGCTCATGTGCGAAGCGCTGCCAAGAAGCCCCTTCGGGACGCTGAGTGTATCCCAGCCCCGGGGTGTCCTTGCTCCCAGATGCCGCCGCAGGGATGTTTGTGTTGCCCAGTGCCCGTTCATTCCGCAGAACATGAGCAGCTCTTGTGTCTGGGTCAGCTTCTCCAGCTGGCGGTGCTGATGGAGGCCCTGTGTCCCCCTGGAGCTTTGGCTGAAGCTGTGCTGTCCCCTGTCCCTGGGGAAGGTTGAGTCCTCGCCTCTGTGCAGGCTGCTGCTTCACTCGCTGGTGATTGAAATCACTCTGTGATTTCAAAATGTTTGCTAGGCTGTGTTCTGATGTCACATATTATGGCCTGGGCAGCTAGTTAGGTCTGGAAAAGATAGACATAGATATATAGAGAGGGTCAGAACCATTTCAGTTTGTGCTTTGAAGCTTCATTCTCTAATGCAGAACATAAAGGGACTTGCCCATTATTGTATGGAAAATCTTTGAAGCAGAGGTGCAGTCACTCATTCAGTACTCTTAAACAGAAGAAATAAAAACAGGCTTGCTGTTTTGGTTTATTTCTTAATTGTCTGAGGTTTTTTTCATAGTAATGTGTAGATGTATAGACTGGGAACACTCCCTCTTGTTTTTTTTTGGGGGCTTTTTGGGTTTGATTTTTTTGGGGTTTTTTGTTTTTTAAAATAATAATATTGGGTTTTGTTTCATTTCTAGGTTAAAGTGAAAATACCTTTTGGAAACAAATACCTTGATGCTATCTTCTCTGTCCCAGAGAAGAAACCAACATATGGAGTGATTCTTACTCATGGAGCTGGAGGAGACATGAATTTCCCTCACTTGGTGTCCTTGGCAGCCTATCTTGCATCCCATGGAGTTCTGTGCCTGCGGTTTACTTGTAAAGGCCTTAATGTTGCCTACAGGACTAAGGCTTTCAAAGCAGTTGTGGTAAGGAGTGAAAAAATTCTCAGACCAAAGCTTAGATCCACGGTTTCTTAAATTACAGCTAGAGATTAGCCAAGAAACAGTGGGAGAATTAGATCCAAAGTTTAGATAAATGGAGCACTGTGTGTGAACAGAAGGAGCAGAAGCAATTCTTAGATGGGCAACAGCTGGAACAGCTGCCACAAGGGTGTGGGTTTGAGTTCAGGGAAAAAGAAAAGCCTGACAAAGAGCAGGGGTGTTTCATGGGAAAACTTACAGCTTGGAAAAGTGGAAGAATTTAGGATGGGTGATCTGCTTGCATTGAGCAGGAGGCATTTTTATAGGGGAACAAAGTCCAGTTCTAAAGGAATTGTGTATGATGTCATTGTGATTAAATGTACATTTGACTTTACTGTCTTTAATGGGCATCTCCAGTCTTTGTGGAAGAAGCATAATGTTCTTAGTGTGTTTATGTTAATATGCTGGTATGTAAGGATAATTTTAAGGCAGCTGCTAAGATTAGTTATCTCCTAAAAGGTGAAAAAATGTGGCTGAATTTTATCTTTTCTGTTGGACTTAGCTGTCGTGTCACAAATACATAACCTCAATGAAGAGCATTTTTGCAAACCTGCTTTTCCTTTTGATGGGCCAAGAGTGTGCATGAGGTCTGTTACTGTAACTGAGTTGATATATAGTATTCACTTGTTTTGGTAACTTTATAGGGCGTCTGATATTTTAGACTTGCTGAGAGCTAATGTGAAATTGATTATGTTGTTGCTGCAAAACCTTATGAAACCATTTATGTGATAAAACCCAACAGAGCACCTTGTATGTACCTGTTCTTTAATCTTCAGTGCTGAAAGAGCTTCCCATTTTCTGTGTAGTAGCTACAAACAGAAGAGATTCCTAACTTCCCAGCTGTCTTAATTCTGCCTTGTAATGCTTCTCTTTCTCTTATTTCTTTAGGAATACTTAAAACTTTGTGATGATTATAAACTTTCTGGTGTTTTCCTTGCAGGTATTGTTTTTATTATCAATAATTTTCTCTCTTATACTGTCTCTAGTAATAGCAATCTGTAAGTATTCCAAGTCTGTCCCACTTTGGTGACAAGCAAATGAACCCTTCTTATGATGCCATAGATCTTACTGCAGAAGAGGAAAGAGAGAGCAATAGATTGTATTTTCCAGGTACTTTGGGACAAAACTTTCTTGTCACTTAGAATTTACAGGGGATGACTTCTCTGATTATCCATGTGTACTTTTTAACTGCAATTCTTGAAGAATTCTGGTTACTGATAAATGGAAAACAGTTTTCCCAAAGCAGGTTACGGTAATTAAAACCTAGTGACAGATCAAAAAAGTCAGCTATGTCACGTGGAAAGGGGAATAGGTGGGGGTGGTTAGAACTGTCTTGATAGGGGAAATGATAAGTTTTCTCTTAGGTGAACCAAGTCTGTGCTGCTATAAGAACTAGCAACTTGTAGCACTCAATTGCAGTGCATTGTCAGCTCATATGCCTCCTCTTTGAGGAGATACTTTCCCTTGCTGTTACTGACTGAGCTCATGTTCCAAGTTCACATTTTCCCTCCCTTCTACTTTTACTTTTAGGCTGAAGTTCAAAGTGTGCATAAACACTTGTTGGATTTGTTTTGTGAGCCAAGTGAAATCAAGCAGAGAATTTTGAATTTGAGCAAATTGAGGTTGCATGAAAATAATGATACAGGACACTATCATGGCTATCTCAAATTTCCAGGCTCTGGAGCATGGGACCAGTCCTTCTCTTCCCTTGTCCCCAGGGTGGGGTGTTGTTCCTTCCAGTATTGCAAGGAATCTCTGTCCCTTTATATTTTCTTTCTTTTCCCCTTCTTTTTTAAACAGGGGTGTAAATGTTACAACTAGACAAATATCTTAGCAGAAAATGTTGAAATTAGGATTAATGTTTTTCATGAAGTAGATCATCCCTAACATTTTGTGACACTGAAATACACTCAGTTGGATTGGTCTGGGGAGTTGTTTACTAAACCAGAATGTGGATGAGGTGACAGCAGATAAAACTTTTTTCCTTTATTTCTGCATGGGAGAAAGGCCGTTCCATGGGCTCATGAGCTGCTGCCTCTGTGATACGTCAGCTGAGCCAGGGTGATGATGATGATGATGATGATGGCTTCATTCAAGGTCTCGTGTGTTTATCTTACCCATTGCATCGACCAAAACTGCAGTCCAAGCTCCGGGATGAGGATTTGTTACTGATCACACGTCCAGTGCTGTTTGTTTCGGGATCAGCAGATGAGATGTGTGAAAAAGTGAGTACCCTTGTAAATCCTGCTATCAAAGGGCAGTCTGGAGGAGCAGCCTCAGTGATGCCTGTATTTCACCTGATTAACAGCCTTGCCTAAATAGGTGTCTTCTGAAGGAAGCCTTGGGTAGAAAACTTCATCAGACACAAGGAAGCCTGCCAGGGCTTCCTTTTGCCGCTTAAAATGTAATGGACCATGCTTGATCTTCCACTTTAGCAAGCTCATCTTTGGGTCACTGAAATACCCCTGATTTAAAAGGTTTCAATAGGAGTGCATAAATTAAAAGTGGTCTATGGAAGTAGTGAGTTATTTGCTATTTTGTTTTAACCATTTCAACTTGCAAAACCTGTGTGGTGCCACCAATGTCACATTTTCATGGCAAATTCTTCTGGCAAAGCAGTTCTACCCCCAAGTCAGGCTTCTGTGGTCAAAAGTGATAGTTTTGTAGAGATGAAGAGCAGGTGTAGGGAGGGAGGAAAACAGTGCTTTTCTGCTGTGTTTCCTTGCAAGCAGGTATCTGCTGTTCTTGAACAGGCCAGTGTGAATTTGGGGCTATGTGCAATTGGCATTTTCCATGCTTGGACAGTTTCTGAGGAGTCATAATGCTTTTGTGAGTATTTGTTGCCAAAATAAGTCAGGCCAGTGACCAGCAGATCCTTGGAGTGCCCTTTATGGGGGAATCTCTGACTTTGTGAGCTGGTTCTTAGATCTGTTTGCTGAGAAATTTCAACAGTCTCAAAGCTAGTCCCTAAGGAATGACATTGCTATTCAGCCTCTGCAGACAAATCTGACTTCAATTCTATCATTTTATTGCCAGCACTACCCTTTGACAGTAAAAATGGACTCCTTTGAAGTTTAATTTTCTGCTATTCTCTGTTTCAGTAAGGGTGAAGCTTTGGGCAGATCCCACTATTCATATACTGACTAGAGAATACATCCCATTTTCCTAGCAAGGTGTTTTTCATGTGCACACAGACACATCTATCTGTTTTTAGGGGCTGCCTATTTTGCATTACACAGGCAAAGCAAGAGACATCTAGGAGTTCCAGAGTTTGTAGCAGCCAATTCTCTAATATCTGCATTCTTGTTTTCTCCATAGCAATTGCTAGAAGGTGTGGTGAGCAAAATGAAAGCCCCTAAAAAAATCCATTGGATTGATAAAGCAAACCATGGGATGGCAGTCAAAGGACGAACAGCAGATGATGTCATGGAAGAAGTAAATGCACAGGTTTTTTCTTGGCTTAGAGAGAATGTTCAACTGCAGCAAAAATAATTTGCAGTGTTCAAGCAGTATCTTCATTTAGTTTTTCCTAAATGTGGCAAATAAGGGGTTTGTTATTTTTCAGAGGCATATTTTTTTAAAAACTGGTGTTTTCAGAGGTCTAAGTGCAAATGCAAATAAAGCTTTCTATGAATGAAAAGAAAATGCAAACTAATAAAGAACTTCCAGAAGTACAGAAAATATATCATGGTAGCATTGTTCTCTGTGTTTCTATGCAAATATCCATATACAACACTTGGGAATGCAGAAGATTAAGTAATGCTTTTGACTAATATTTGAAGTAATATACTGGAAAAAATTCTACTTCAACAGATATCTTTAGGGTTCCTCAATTTCTGAGTACATTACTGATGCTGTACTCATTTGTAATTAAAACCTACTGATTTTAGGGTTCTGCCAGCACATCCCCTGAGGCTGGTGAGCCTGGTGTACTACTTTGCCTTGATGCTGTGTGCTGGCCTTCCCAGGTGCTTCCAAATCTGTGAGGCAGGGAGAGGAATCTCTGGTTGGTCACAGTGTCTGCCACCTTAGGGAGCCAGATTCTGCCTCTGGGGAGGAGGTAATGCAGGCACAGCTGGGTGTGTGGAGCAAAGAACATGGTTCAGTTTTGAGGAGTCCCCTTCACCACTGTCCTTTGTGTAAAGGACTGATCACAGAGACCCTCTGATAAATAAACACTGATAGACAAATTGTGTTTAGTGATGGAGGAACTCCTGGAGCAGGAACCAGTTGTGCATCCATTGTGACAGGAGGATCTCAGGTCTCTGCCTGAGCTGTGACACTGGAGAGTGGATTAAACACTGTGTGTGTACTGGCAGCTGCAGCCTTTGTCATTATGGGCTGTGAGTAACCTGTTGGTATAACCGAGCCTACAGCAATATTGGATTGTGGTTTTCCTGCAGGTTAACAAGATTTATTATGAACCCCACAGCACTGGGGGGAATTTGAGATTCTCTCAGAAGGAGCACAGTTATGGTCTGAAAAAAGAAGCCTTTGACTGGATGGATAGATAGAGAGGGAGGGAAGATAGATAATGCTCATCTGCCCTTCTTTGCAGAACAGTTTCAGGTTTGTGGAAAGACTTACTATATACAAGCATGAGTAAAAAGTATCTGCATTTCCAAGGTAACTCAGGACAGGAACACATGACTGATACAAACATGGTTTTTATTTAAAAAAAAATTATAAAAATGTGTTTGAATAAGGCTCTTCCCACCACTGCATGATTAAAAGGAAATCAGAGGTGCTTTGATTTCTTCCATACGTAGATCATGATAAAATATCCACTGACATTTTTGGCGGGCATACTAACCCAGATTTTCCTTCTTTCTTTAAGAAGACAGTCTGAATTTAGGTAAATACTGAAAAAAATTATTTACTTCTGTCAGAGTTCATCTTTGGCCTGCAGTCAAAAAAGAAGAAACATGTTTCAGTTAACTGGAAGCCTATTTTTCACTGTCTAGTCCTCTAGTCCTGCAAATACATCAAGAAGTGTTTCTAAGTTCGATAGGTGTTAATGGCCTGGCCTGATAACTGATACTGTGGGACACTAAGCAGCCCTGCTCCAGCAGGGCTCAGCAGGAACTGAAGACACTCAGCACTTTACATTTAACCCTGCATGGACTGTACCTTTTTTCGGTGGCAAGTGCATGGGAAAAGGTCATCATCAGGCTGCTGCACCTTCTCCATCCCATCTCTGATTTTTGGTTCACTCACTTGCAAGCTGGCATATTCCTAATTTTAAAAAAAGGAAGGTATCATTAATCCATACATTTTTTAGTTGGTACATGTAGTTGCCAATATTGTACCAAATCAGCTGAGCAGTTCTGTATGAACTCTGGGGCTACACAATCTGTTCCTGCAGATTGTCACAGGCAGGGTGAGGGAACACTCAGCTGCAGATGGGAGCCCCTTCGGGTGCCTCCCTGGAGTTCAGTATCTTGGTGCTAATGCACAGATATTTTCAGCTGTGGTTCACAGGGTGTGCGTCTGATGTGGAATTCTTTGATCATTGTGGGCTACATATTCTGGCAGATTAGATCAAGATTTATGGGATCCCACTGCCTCTCAAACAGCCAGCATAGTCTTAAGGGGTTTCATAGCATATAATTGAATACAATGTTCATAAAAACCAAATGAAGATTTTAATTGCTGCTGCTTGCTTCATGGCTTCAAGTACCAGACTGGCCAATTTCCAGCAGCTCTGTTGCTCTAAATTCTTGCTGTGTGATTTCTATTTCTATGCTGGTAGCCATTAAAAATATACTGACCTGGAAAAGTTTGAAATAGTAACAAAAAATGTGGTCTCCCATGAGATTGTTTCTTGCAAATTCTTGTCCAGATTTTGCAATATTTTTTGCCTGTCAAAGAAAATGAAAGTTTGGTTTATTTTTTTTATTGCCCAGAACTAGTATTTATTTCAGGGTGCTACTGTTGGTTCCCAAGTTACAAATGAAGTTGACACTTCAGGATAACTCAAGTAAAACATTCTTTTTAAAAGTTAAGGCATTATTAGGAATATACTTTTTTTTCCCTGAAGTTCAATTTGATTTCAAATTAAGGACAATATTATGCATTTTTGAGTGTTTTTCTTCTTTGTAGAGTTGATGAAATAAATTTCAAGCTCTCCTAGTATTTTTTTGCTTTGTTTTAAAGAAATTCAATTTCTGTTCTCTTCTAGAAACATTACTGCATATTTCTAAATGTGTATTTTACCTCTTCATCATGATCTTTTGCCCACTGTAGTTTTTCTAGCAGATCACTCAGGTCACTTTTAAATGGAATGTAGTGTTTCCATGGCTGCAGCTCATTATAAAAGTGCTCATAGTAGATGGAGTCTTGCTTTAGCACCACACTGTTTCCTGCTAGTAGATAAGGCAATCTGTATGCTGCCACTGTGCCGTCAATATTAATTTGATATTTATACTGGAAAGAAAAGGACCAGAAGTTAGTAAAAACCACAAGATCCCTGGCTTGGTTAGGTTATATTCTGAGGGCACTGGTGTTACTGACTTGCCAATATTGAGACAGGTAGGACTCGCTAGGCAAGCATCAATGTCTAAGAAGCTTTTATTATCTAGTTTGGAATTCATCACAGTGCAGGGTACACAGAGCTTCATCAATTAAGTTCTCCAGGAATTCTTAGGTGCTCATCCTCGGATGTGAGGGTAGATGTGCCACTTCATCCACAGATTTTCCCACTATGTTAGTTATGTTAGTAGTCCTGATCGCTGAATCAGGAAAAAGAAATAAAAAGGAACTTGAAGTTATGTAGATTACACGAGGTTCTACAGAACCTTTAGATGTAAATCAGACATTACTATCCTGAGGGTAAGAGCTACATAGCAGTTAATCCCACTGGAGGGATGTCTAGTCATGCCTGTTACTGGTAGTGTCCTGAATAACTAACAATCCCTTTATTTTCAATAATACATACTAAGTTATTTCATAATGGGAAACAGTGAGAACTGAGTTCTATGAAAAATAATTAGTGGCTTACCTTAAAAAAATCAAAAAACGAAATGTGCTTAACAATAGGGCCATAGAGGCTCTCATCATGTTTAAAGAAAAAAAAGTTTGTGAAAGCAGCATCTATGATCTCTGGATATTTCCTGCTGAGTTTTACAAGCTCAAGCCTCTCTTTGCGGCTGTCACGTCCTCTCCAGAAGGCTGTGGTGTTCTTGTCTTCCCACGATGGGCCAGTGTTTGCTTGGACTGACATCATATCCAGGCTGACTCTGCAGCAGAAAGAAGTGGTTTAATAGTGAAGCCTACTGGAAACTTTTTAAAGTGCAGTTACTTAAAAGAGTTCACAGTACCCACAGACAGAGAGCAAAGATGAAGGCAAGTCATGAGCACACCATGATGTGTTACTGTATCAGTCATTTGCAGCAACAGAAACAGATAATCAATGTTAAGTTCACGGGTGTGTGGCATGACAGCATCCTTCAACATCAACATTCATGGCATGTGGAAACAATACCACGGAAAAAAATAGGTAAAAGTGGATACAGTTGCCAGAGAAGGTGATACAAGGTACTGTAACTTGCTTAGTAAAATATATTGCACATCCTTAAAAATGTTAAGAAATTCAACACAGAAACTGGGAGGGCAAGGGATAGCAAATTAGAAAAACTTTTCACAAAAAAAAAAGGAACCTGAACTAAATGCAGTGAAATGTTAAGTTCAAGATGGATTTCAAAGATTTCTCAGAAGCAAGCTGTATTGGTAGTGTTTCAAGACAGAAAAGAGCTGTCTTGTTGCTAAAGCTAGTTATGGTCAGTAATCAAAGTGGGAGATGGTAGCTCCTAGTTTGAAAATTCCCAATAACTATGTTGCGATTTGAAAGGTACGCAAAAAACAAATTCCAACAAAATCAGGAAAGAAAGATGCCTGGCCAGTTGTCAACAAGTTCATGGGGGGAGAAACAAAGCAAACAAATCAAATGCCCAGCCTTGAAACACTCTCAAGTGCTGTTTTTAGTGATTTGACCATTTAGATAAATTTAGATTTTTGAAATGAAACAGTGAAGTACAATAATATATTGATTACGCAGTCACTGCCTACCTGGGTTGCCAGTCTCTCGATGAGTAAATGAAAATAGTTAATATACTGTTACCATACAGGTCTCTATGTATGGAAGATCATTCATTGTGAATTTTGTGAAAAGTTTAAGCCATTTCTTACCGTCCCATCGTCTCCAAAACGGAGTCTGTTAAGTCGTATGTTGGCATGACAATGTCTTTTGACTCACTGGAACCACACCACGAGAAGATTGGGTGCAAGTTCTGTGGGGGCTTCCTTTTCTCCAGAGGCCAGTCCCCCAAATTAACAAAAAATTCTACATCTGGCATTTTCACCTAAAGAGAAGCAAAGTAGGCACAAATCTAGTTTAGCACAAACAGTATTCTGCTGGCATCTTGCATTTTGAAAACAACCTCACTAAGAGGAAAAATTGCCAGGTATCTAATATACTTAAAGTACCTGTAATAAATCATGGACATTTAGAAACCTGTTAGAAGTACTGAGACCACAGAGTAAAGCCTACAAAATAGTATTTAAAAAAAAATTTGCAAAGTCACATAAGGCATAGGAGCCCCCTTTTTAGAGGATGGTTTCCTGTTATACTTTACATGATTGGCTACACAATCTTTTGATCAGGCTAGCACTGGTACCTAGTCAGCAATTGTATAGTTCCAGGGTAAGCTGGATCATCTTGTTACTGTATGGAAAACTGATGCTGGCTGGTAAATCAGTTTTCTGTCACATCAGTGATCTAATTCACCCTGCATCTGCAGGATGCCTAAATCCAACAGAAGAGAAGAAACAAAAATAAACAGCCATGATGGGAAGAACAATTTAGTCAGTGTTTTGGTTAATTATTAAGCATAACATCATCACTTAGTTAAAATATTTGGTAGCATGGAACCATACCTGAAATCACTGTCACAGCCAAAAGGCAAGAAAAATACTGTTGATGGCCAGGAAGCAGGACAGAGGGCGTAATTTTGCTGTTTTACGAAACTGTGATGCACCCCTGTATTGATTTTGGTTTGGGTATTTTCGAGTGAAGTAAGAAAAGGTAGAAAGAAAGGCAGCTTTGTAGTTTTCCAAAGAAAGGACCAGCTGCCTTGTGAGGAATCACTGAAAATGGTGGGACAGTTCAGTTTGAAGAGCAAAAGGCAAAACATGACAAATGGCTGTGTTTTACAGAACCCTGAAGGCACATATAAGGTCAGTGCAGAACTAATGTCATCTCTCAGTTCACTCTCTTCCCTCTCAGTTGTCTCTTTCAAAACAAAATAAATTAATAATTTGCCAAATATCAAACACCTCCAAATGGTGGAATATACTCTATTCCTTTCAAAGGGTGTTTGCTATGCAGGCTAATGCTCAGCACTGAACTTCATTACTATGGCGCCATCTAAAGGTTGTAATGGGCATAAACCCTACAAATTGAATTTTCTACACATCCTCAGCAGCAGAATCCATCAGCAGCCTGAATCTTCTCCAACCAACTATCTACTGTCACTCAGTGACACTATCCTAATCAAAATTCTTATTCAATGGTATTTAATGGGAATGAGATAAACTGTGTTTTCTAGATACGTAAACAGTTGCTGGTTTTGGAGTTAGCAATCCTTTTTCAACTTTTAGTCTGAAGTCCTCAGATGCAATTTAACTCCATTATTTCTTATCCAACACTATGGACACCAAGAACCGTTTACTTCCATCTTCCAGGGAACAATCTTTTAGGTAATTGTAGTCTACATCCATGTCTTCCCTTAGACATCATGTCCTCTTATAAATAGTGTTAGGTGAAACAATCACCAGTTAAATTAACGTGCATTTGTACATTTTGTCATTTTCCCAGTCTTCCTGTGCACTGTTAGTTCAGCAACGTTATCAACAGAGCAATCCTTAAAGCATGACACCCAAAGGCAGCCAGAGTAGCATAACTGATCCATTACTAATTCTGAGGACACTGGAAAGGCTACTTGATATTTCTTTAATGTGTTATGTAAACTTGTGTTCAGCTTTTTGCAGCAATGTACCTGCAGAGACAGAATTTTCTGTTAGATGCTACAGGATGATTGATTTATTTATTCTACAGGGAAAAAAACCCTCAAACCAACACACCCTGTCCTGGCTTATCAAACTCATCTGCTTATTCAATTAACTTTTGTGATACTACATCAGATGGCATTCTAGAACATGACAGCTTCAAACAAGGAAAATCCATGACCTTTCCATAATTAATCAATGAGCAAGAGTTTTTTAACAGAAACAGCAACAAATACGCTGATGTGTATTTAAGGCCAGGCTTCTATAAATTAGTACTTGCAGAGTAAGTGGCTGTACAGATGTACTCACTTTTCTGGTCAAAGAAAGCAGTATGGCATCCATGAAAATTCTGAAGCCAACATGTTCCCCATATGTCTTTATATAAACCTGAAAATAAACAAAGGTTTTACTGGGTGATTTCATTTCAGAGAATGGCTGGCACAATTCAGAGCTCTTTTAATCACATAGTAACTACTCAGACAGACTATATGGCTGTATAGATTTATGAATCAGCTGGGAAGCAACAGAAATCTCATCACAGAAAAGTGATGAAAAAAATTATAAGCTTTGCTTGCTTTTGCAGATGTTTGAGGTCTGTTTCATGAAAGCAGAAACTGCTGCCTGTCTCTGTGGTGTTCCATTCTTCTAATTTCCATATAAAACTCCACTGAAATAAGTACAGTGTATACAATTCTCTGTTACAAAGAATTGTAGCTCTGATGCTCAGTTCAGCTAAAAGTGGTATCTCAGAATTATGCATGATGTAATTTATCGATGTACTTCAAATTAGATGATTGTGACACCTCACAGCAGCATTGCTCAGAGAATAGGAAACTGAATTTAGGAGACTTGGGTGTGTGCCCAGTACTCACACTGATTGCCTGGAAAGTAATTTGCCTTCACTGTGTTTCAGCTGTAACATGGACAAAAAAGCACTTACAAAGTAGGACTGACATTGCTGAGCTCATACACAAACTGCAAAGTATTCAAGGACAGAGAAGCAAGCAAAGTCTTGTTCTTAAAGAATATACTACAAGAAGCTTTTACAACTCAGATCAACCAAACTGCCCATGGCTTGCCACCAAATTTCCATTTGGACTTCAGATCAACCAGATTCCATACCTCATTGTTTTTGATGGTGTAGTGACACAAACTCTGTCTTTGTCCAAACCTCTGTGGAATTTCTTTTGCAATCTTATCTGGGTCAACAGTGGGAAAATTTGCTAAGTCTCTCTGAATCTGTGGAATGGTTTGAGGACAGTTCATCTCTTCCAGCCATGCACTGCTATCCTCCTGAGGGCAGTCACAGTTTTCATGGTAAACAGGTCCTATTGGGAACAAAATTATTATTTTAATTTTAATAAGTCATAATATTGAGCTGTTGAGATCACAGAACAGGGTCAAGCACTGAACATTCATTGCTTAGGGCCAAAACTTCAGCAACTCAAAAATGGATATGTCTGAATTTTTTTTTAACTCTAATGGAGTCATGTCAACCTATATCAGCTTATGTGTGAGCCTTCTACCTGTATTTATCAGGCAACAGCTTCACAGCATTTGCTTCCTTTTATTATTTTGAAAACTATGTGTAGGATGCATATAATGTATCCATAATTTCAATGGGATTTGATAGTCCAGAGAAGTATGAGGTCCCAAAGAATCCTGTGCTTCTAGTAGAAGACATTCTGGGACACACTTTGTCAGCCCTGACAGGAAACCTGTGTGTAGTGGTGCGTCTTACCTTTTAAAATATATGGAGACTTTGCAACATGCTTATCTCCAGTTTTGACTTCTATCCTCAGACTTTTGTAGCTCGCATACATCCTGTACCTCACGAGGAAGGAACCATCTTTCCTGTCCAATACCTGCACACCAACACGAGTGAACTGTTCTTCAGGAGCAGTGATCTTCACCTGGAATGCATTTTCACCTGGTGATGAAGTGAACCTACCCAGAGAATAAGTGGGAGCTTAATACACAAGGAAACATAACAACAGATTTCTTAGTCTGATCCATTCCTTTGCAAGTCAACAGATTTCCAGTAAGCCCTGTTAGCCATGATTTCCTCTGAGCCGTGTTAGGCCTCTAAAAGCACATCTGAATGTTCACTTTTAACAGGTTAATAAGTCTATTATTTTACATTCAGAAGCAAAATGTTTTCAGATTACCTTATTTTCCAGGTATTATTAAAGGAAGTAAAGAACAAAGTTACACCTCTTAATCATTCTAGTAGCTTATATGGGAAAAAAACAGGGAAAAGAAATTATAGAGGGATTATGTAACTCTATGTGTACATGAGATATTTTGGTATAATTAAACATATACCAAAACAGAAAAACCTCTATAAAACCAAATAAAATAATCTGAATAATCATGAAGTTATCACATATCATTGATGTATTAACAAAGTTGGTGCAGTCAAAATGCTGTCAACTTCCTTCCACCTCTCTTCCAGTGACCAGGCTCTTGGGCTGTAACTCCTTACTTCACCTTTCCTAAAACTTGTCCAGTCATACTTGAGACCTGCCAGTTCAATTAAATGCAAGAAATATTTACTATCCCAGTTAAGCTGAATTGGCAGCCTCCATACTGACACAAGCCATGGTGCATCTAATCTGGATGACCTTGATGGAACATTCTGAGCACCTATCTAGGTTGCATGACCAGTTTTCCTAAATAAATGGAAAGCAATGAGTATTCTCTAAAAATCACGGAGTTGTTAGGGTTGGAAAGGACCACCGGAGATCATCTAGTCCAATCCCCCTGCCAAAGCAAGGTCACCCTGCAGCAGGGGACACAGGGACGTGTCCAGGGGGGTTTGCAATGTCTCCAGAGAGAGAGAGACTCCACAGCCTCCCTGGGCAGCCTGTTCCAGTCCTCTGCGACCCCCAGGGAAAGTTTTTCCTCGTGGTGAGGTGAAATTTTCTGTATTTTAGTTTATGGCCATTGCTCCTCGTGCTATTTCATTGCTAAGAAATTTACCTATTGGTCTATGGAGTAATTCCTAAATGATTCAACTGATCTTGTGCCTCGGCACGTAGGAGAAATACTAATGTCCCCAAACAGTGGAAACAAGCAGGATGCCTGAGCCTAACAAATTAAATGTATTAGTCACTGCTAAAGTTTTGACAAAGGAGAATAAATAATGAACTTTTCCCACTGACTAACACGTATGCTTTGCTGCCGAACGTTTCCATCCTCTTATCTCATCCCCTCGCGCCGTTATTTGATACTCCTTGAAAGGATTAATTAGCTCTTGCCAAGTGATACGCAGAGTCACGTAGAGGAAGCTTTTAGCCCGCACCTTCTACGAGGAAATCGCCAGCCTCTCGGTTTGACCGTGCCCAGAATCTCCCCGAAAAGCCGCCGCCGCCCTCACCTCAGCCCTCGGGCGTCCACGGCCTGCACATAGAAGTACCGCGCGGGGAGCGCGGCCGCGGCGCGCAGCCCGGGCCCCCACACGGCGCTGCGCTCCGCGCTCGGCCGCCCGCCCCCGCCCGCGGCCGCCGCCGCCGCGGCTCCCAGGGCGAGGCACAGCGGCCACAGCGCACGCATCGGCAGCGCTGCTGACCCCGAGGGACGAACACCGCCGGCACCGGCCTCCGACCCTCGGCACGCCGCCGGGCAGTCCCGCCCCCGGCGCGGCTCCACGGGGCGGGGCCGCGGCATGGCGGGGCGGCGCTGCCGGGAGGTGCCGGCCCGCTGGGAGGTGCCGGCAGAGCCCCCGGGAGTGACTGGGACCTGGCACATGGAAAGCATTAGGGACAGCTGGCTCTGACGGTCCGCCCCCCGGACATCTCCGAGCCGCTCTTTAACCCCTGCCAGGAGCTGAAGTTCTTCCCCCCAGCCTCCCTTCACTCCGTTCCCAAACTTTAGGGTGGGAAGTGGAGTTTACAATCCGGAAAATGTGTTTTCAAAATCCTCCCCTGAGCAGCTGGAGGTGAAGAGTTTCTTTGAGCTGAGGGTGGCAAAGCCCTGGAACAGGCTGCCCATGGAGGCCGTGGTGGCTTCCTCTCTGCAGACATTCCAAACCCACGGTGTTCCCATGCCACCTGCTCCAGGTGACCCTGCCTTGGCTGGGCCATTGGATTAGATATCTCCCGAGGTCCCTTCCTCCCTTAACGCCTTTGTGACTCTGTGATGTGTGGCTGCTGGTAGTGCAGGTCTGGGATTGTCTGGAGCAGAGGTGAGGGGGCACCTCACCCGCTGCCACCGGGGCAATCGCACAACGCAGCCGTGATTCCATGGTGATTCCATGGCCCTTTGTCAAATAATCCAGCCTCCAACTGCAGAGAGCTGGTCCCAAACACTAATGCTGCTCTTAACTACATGCAGAATCATTTAGGTTGGAAAAGACCTCTAAGATACTTTCAACTTGGCTCCTGACTGCTTCTCTCTTGTTAAGGCAAACAATAAAGAAAACTGAAATTCATCATCAAGGACTCAGGAATTTCAAAAAGATTTTGTATTTTACATTTTGAAATATTGCAAATATGCTTAGAGAAAAGCACACAAAAAGCACTTGTTTGAAGAAAATTTCAAGCTGAGAAATGACAACTTGGGTTGATGAAGAGAGTCTTTTCTATCCAACAATGTCATTACAAAATGCCTTAAATATTACCAAGCTCCAGCTTTTAAAAACATAGTTTTTCAGGACATTCAGCAGTTAGAAGACTTACAATTTCCAGTCAAAAAATTCACACAGACTCTGTTGTATATCCATGACTCTTTAGCTCCTCTCCTTTCCCTGTCTTTACTCTCCTGATGTGTTTTACAGGCAGAAATCACACTCCTCATATTTTGCTGCATGAGAGAAGCCAGTCTCCTCTAGTGACAGAGAACTTTAAAGATATTTTTAATTAAAAAGAAATTTGATAGCTGTAGAATTCACAGATCATGCTTCCTCCTCTTAGCAGGATGGCACTGACATGTTAAAAAAAGCACAATAGTGTTGAAGTAAAGGTGACACACTTCCACCCTCCTGATGTTCTCTCCTCCAGCTTTTTTTCCTCCACATAAGTGCAGCTCAGGGAATCCATGCAGAGATTTGGCACTATTTGTCAGCACCCAAACAAGTTATAAGATAAATCATGCAACCTAATTTTAGCCTTGGCTGGCAAAGCCAACATCGCTGTTATCCTAATGCCTATAATTTGGCTCAGATAAAGACGCTTTGGAGGCAGAATTATTTAATTATATCAAAGGCTGTTGGCCGACTAAGGCTTAACAGGCTTCCAGCTGGCAAAGGCAAAAGGGATGCTCTCCTTTACAAGGGGCAGGTTGCCTCAGGGTAAGCCACATAAACTATGGAATGTGATCTAGGGCCTCTCATGTCCAGGGGATGACAAACATGGCTGTACCTCAATTGCTCAAGCACTTTGGCAATTCAGCTCTGCCTAACCACTGAGAACCATCAAATAACACTAGCAATTCAGGAGATATTAGATTCTGTTTTGCTTTTCCATTAATTGCAGTACCTCTCACAGAAAGTATTGCTGGGAGTAGAGGCTCTGTGGACTGAGGCACAGTGTCGTAATTGCCAGGAGTGAATCTTCTGTCAGCAGGACATAATATAACTTTTTGATATTTTATTTAAAATTTCATAACGACTTTGTAATAAAATCGATCTGAATATTTAAAAATTAATTAATTTTACATATTTGTGGCAGTAGCAGAACAGCTCCAGTTGCATCTTCAGTGTTGTTCATGCTGACCGCAGTGCAGGATGACAAATATTGTCAGCAGTTCCGGACAGTGTTACCTGAAATAAACTTTCGTTCCTTCACACAGTTTTACAGCAGCATTGTTGCAGATGTTCTTACTACTCTCAGGGAACAAACCCTGGTGCAAATATAAGGTAATCTGGTCCAAGCTCCCTGCCCCGGCAGGGTCAGCCCAGAACACATTGCACAGGATTGCATCCAGACGGCCCTTCAGTATCTCCAGTGAGGGAGACTCCACAGGCTCTCTGGACAATCTGTTCCAATGTTTGCTAGCCTGCAGAGTAAATAAGTTCTTCCTCATATTCAGGTCCAATTTCCTGCGCATCGATCTCTGCCTCTCGTCCTATTGCTCGGCACCACCGAGCAGAACCTGGCTCCATCCTTTTGGCACCTTCCCTTCAATGCTTATAGACATGGATGAGATCCCCTCTCAGCCGTCTCTTCCCGAGGCTGAGCAGGCCCATCTCCCTCTGTTTCTCACCATTCCGCGCTGAGCCCCCACACAGGCGGCGCTTCCCGCCCCCGCCATCCCCGACCCGCTCCTCCCTTCCCTCCCTCCCCCGCCCGCCCGCGGGGCACCAGCGGGCGAGACCATGAGGGCGCAAATGGGGGGGAGGGCGACCGAAGAGGCGCCACTCACGGCGCCGAGGCGCAGTCGCGGCCCAGCCGGGAGGCGCTCGCCACTGCTTCCTCCGAGGCACCGTGAGGGCCCTCAGCGGGAGTGCGGCCGTGGCCGCCGGGCAGCCCCGCGCCTCCCCCCGTCCCCGTGCGGCGGCGGGAGTTGGTGCGGGCCGGCGGCGGAGGAGGCGGGGGGCGGCGGGGGCGCGCAGGTGAGCGCGCGGCTGAGTCTGCTTCCGGCGCGCCCGCGTCCCCGCTCCGCCGCGGCCGGGGAGGCGACGCCGGCGAGCCCCGCTCCGCGCAGGTAACACGGGCCGGGGGCAGCCCCGCCGCCCTCGCTGCCGCTCGCAGGCGCCCAGGAGGGGAGCGAGCCCACGGTCCCGGGGGGCCCCTTCCCCCAGCCCGCGGCTGTGCGCTCCGGAGCCGACTGGCGGCAGCGCGGGGGGAAGGGCGGGTGTTTGGATGTGTCCCTGCGCTCCGCCAGGCGGAACCCGGCCGGCCCCGAGGCGCTCCCGGGGCGCTGCAGGTGCGGGGCAGCGGCCCGGAGCCGGTGTTGCAGGAGGAGGCTGCGGAGCGGAATTCCTGCCTCCCTCGCGCCAGGTTCCCATCTGCGGCGCGTGTCTGCAGACGTGCGAGCTGCTGAGATGACAGATAACACACACGCTGTCAGCTTGCCCTTTAAAAGTGATCGTTTAAAGCAAGCCAGCCAGCCGTCTAAATTTGCTTTTGGTAATTCTTAGCTGCCATAAACAAAACCTGCTTTTCTTTCTCACGTCTTGAAGAATAAGAGGCACGTAAAAATAAAAGGCAACCTTTAACAGCTATAGGAGGAAAGCACTGGAACAGATTGAGGCTGATGTTGTCAATTTACAGTCGATAAGGTTGTAGTTACTGTAGTTGTATGCTTGAACTTCACTTGCAGCAAAAGTTTGCAGGATTCAGCAGAATTAATACCTTAAATTATGACCTTAAATTGCTGTATGATGATTTATTAATTTGTATAAATTATTCTGTATTTCACAGTGTATTGTGACTGTAAGGGATAGAAGAAAGCAACCACAAGCAGGAACATGTAGAAAGCTTTTAATTTTTAAATTTTTTTATTTGTGTGCTGGTTTATAAGTGTAATTATTATGACCTCATCATGATATCACTGCGGTGTATGCTGTTGGCACCTCACAAATGATAAAAAGTGCTGATTGTAGAGTTCTAGAGAGGCTTAGGGAAAGACATCCTGTTGTGTTGTGGTAGCTCAAAGGATATTTCAGCTTTTATTGGCTATGAGTTCAAAGATAAGCTTTGTGTATGTTGTATGCTGAATGAGACACCTGTACTAACTCAGCATTTTTTTTCAGGTACCTCGTTGATACCTTGCAGAGGCAATGGAGGCAATGATGAAAACCCTGTTGTAATTAAAGCATAAAGAAAAAATATTCTTCACTGTGCAATACTCTTAGTATTGTTCAATGCCTACTATTTCAGAAGATGAAAAAGAAAATGGTTCTGGAAATAATGGCAACACTGAAAACAGACCTGGGAAAGAATCCCCAGAAGCTTCTCTTCACGATCCCGTGAAGCCATACTGCATGTCAGACGCCTCCGCTGCATCCTTGGTGTCTAGGGAAGATGGGCATTATCCATGGGGATGTCCTGTGACTCATACAAGGGAGAAGTTTTATACCATCTGCTCAGACTATGCTTTTTTAAACAGAGTCACATCTATTTGTAAAAGTCCAAGTGCTTCAGTTAGTGCCTGCCTATCAAGTAGTGCTGCCTTAAATGTTGGGAATAACACACCTAACTTACTCAGCGTTCAAACTGGTGCTTCAGAGATTATCTACAATGAGGATGCTAACTTGGAAAGCTTGCCTGGCAAACTTGGAAAGCTTCCACTGGCATGGGAAATAGACAAATCTGAGTTCAATGGTGGGAACTCAAATCTGAAGAGCAAAGCAGGTGAGTGAGATGGTGATGTTTTGATGTGAAAGGGAAAGGCTTCGTGTTTCTGGCTTGTTTGTGAAGGGAGCTGGGCATCTCACGTGTCCAGTGAAGAAGTGTTGCACAAGAGCCTGTACTTCATTTCAAGGAGCCTGCTCATCAGGATAGGAGAGAGAAAAGGAGTGAAAATCAAGTGTAACTGCCAGGAGAAGTGGATCCAAAGCAAGGCTGACTTCTGCTTAACTGTGTGGTATTTGGGGTGGTTTCTTCCCCCCT